CGGCTCATGACTTTGAAAAATGAACGCGTTTGATTTTGAAGGTCACAGTCGAATCTAGTTGAATTACACCGTTCTGTGTCAAAATGGTAGCTTTTGCCCCTTCCATGAAGAAAAACCTGGCTGGCCACGACTCAAAGAGATGGATCGCATTTAATTTGCGATGTAGCCAACACTGGATTTTTATTAATAAGATAAGAGATGGATCGCATTTAATTTGCGATGTAGCCAACACTGGATTTTTATTAATAAGATCCATGATTAGGGATGAAATGCTGCTCGAAGAGCCCATGTTATATAGATTTACATGCGTTCTTATAGTATTACTTGTGTTTTTGCAAAAATACACATTGTATTCCTATGCACTCCAACCCCCCTCCCACCCACCCCACACCCATAACATTCTCACACTAATGCCGACACCCTCCCACTTAATTTTGGATAACTATTTTATATGCCAAATAGTCCTAACTGAATAGGTTATAGCAATTATTTGGTTTTATAAAGTTTTTGAAAGATTATACACATTTTTTCCAAGACAAGACTGTCACTGGAATCCAAATAGGTTTATTACCCGATATGATACCTCATGGCATTCAATATTCTAGGTTTAAAGAAATACATGTATAGTTAATGGTTAGTGGTTGCCAATCTGGGCCCACTAATGGGCGATATGGTCATTTTGGTGGTCAGTGGGGATCACTCGGGTTGTGACAGGTCTAATTTAATTAATGCCCCGCTTGGAAATACGTGATGGTGGGCGGTACAAAAATGTTAACCTTTTAAAAGAAGTATTTAGTTAGTTCTGGTTATGAAAAAGAATGTACGAGCACTGCAATAGGTGCAGTGCATTATGATATTTGTGAGTTTGAAATGAATAGTAGATTGCGATATTTTGATATTTTTATGGAATAAATGTGGCTGACAGTTCTAGACTATGTCAAGTTATTTTGAATGTTGTTTAAGGCCAAGTTTAGATGTTTAGATGTCAGCGTTTTCAATTTACACAATGCTATTAGAACGATCGAGCTCTGAGAAGGTCTTAAGGGTAGGATAAGGTGCTCCAATTTCATTAGTGTTCTAATTTCGTGGCAACCTCCCCACTCCCCCTTTCCCACTCGTGAAACACCGTTTAATTTGCTGACAAATCATTAATTCTAGTGGGCAGTCGGCGGGTGCTCTGGTGGGGTTTGCTCTTTAAAGTTTCCTTTCAAACATATCGTCCTTGTCTCTCCTCCTTTTTCTGTGTGTTTATTACTCTCTTGTAATACTTTCTTATCTTCGGCACTTATATGACCTAGGTAGGCGTAATTCAAATTGTGTTGCAAGGGCAGTAAAACACTTGCTGAAACAAACAAACAAACGAATTCTAACTCAAAGTATAAATGTTGGTATCTTGGATAGACACAGAAGTGACTGTGGTTCTGCATTGAACAGAGTAAGAGTCGGTGTGCAAGAAGTGGGGTCACTAATGATAACTGGGTTCATGACAAAATTGGAGCACCCTGCGTACCCTTTTTCGTGTTGGCGGTTAGCGGATGCTCTGGTATTGGTATGGTTTGCTCCTTCTATTTCTCTAAAACGTCTATCGTCTTTATCTCTCCACCTTCTTTTCTTTGTACGTTACTCTTTAGTAACAACTCTACTGAGCTTCGGCGGTTATACATATTTATGACTTACTTTTTGTTGCAAGTGCCGTAAAACTCTTATTTCTACTAAATCTACTTAAACTTGATTACGCTATCTTGAAAATGGACATTTAATTTGTTGTATTTTTGACGTCTTGCGTTTCTGTGTAGCTTCCCTGTTAATTGTTTACTGTGTGTGGTTGGAGGGTGCCACTGGTAGGTGCTATTTCTTCACTTTTCCTCTGCTGTTTTTGTTTGGTTATCTTATTTTCGGTTGCACTAGTTGACCGTTATTCTGTCAATGTATTTCTCCTTACTCAAACAAACGATCAATGTT